TTCAACTAGAGGCGATAATATAAGATTAGCTATAAGAAATTTGGTGAAAAAACGACGCGATTGTGAATGTCCTTCAGGACGCTTCGAGAAAGTAGGAATTTCTTCGCGGAACGAGTAATATCGGCCTCGTGCATTCGAGCCACATGATGAATAAACCTACAACCCCTCCAACGAATACCTTATCACTTATATACGCGATTGGAGTTAGTAAAATAGCCACATGGTTGCTGTCAGAAGACGAACTTAATTCGGACCGACCACTTCAACAGAACACACTGAGTGATGTTGCCATTAGTAGTATTGAGGTATAGTACGCATAACTAATGAATACGAGAAAAGCGATGGAAGGCTAATAGTTATGAGATCTTGGTTGTGTTCTCAATACGAAGATCAGGGCGCGGCAACAAAGACTAAAAGCGTGATTATGAATAAGCAAATCGAAATAAAGTGTTTGTACTAGAGGCAAGATAACCTCATAAAGAGAAAGGATTTTCGCCGAGCAAGTTTTTGAGGATAATAATCAATCTAGGAAAGCAACCAGGGATAGAAATGATCAGAAAACCTAAGATCAGCAACAAAGGAGACAATAGAAAGACTATGTGTGCAATACGAGTGATCCAGGAACCAATAAATAATAAATGCATATGCAATGGAAACCCTGGACCTGTAACACTTCTTTATAGCACAGCAAACGAGACTAGGGAATGGATTCAACTATGGTGTCTGTGGAGATGCCAAATCGGAGGGCTCTGGCTAGCATACAAGCTGGCCACGATTGATTTTAATAAAACGAAATGAGTCTCAGAAACAATGCTGGCATACCTCACATCTTTAAGACCGATTACTCGCCTATTTAAATATCCTGACACACACGTAGGCAGTTCGCTAGCATTGTTTGAAAGTAGACCACCCCCGCCACCTAGCTATAAAGAATTAACGAAAACTAATAATTGTCAAGATAGCGAAGATAAGAACTGAGGTTCGCTTACATTTAATCTCGTCCGTTATAGCACTAACATCTATTTTTTCATAGCTTACGCCTTTTACAGAACATTCATTGTGAAGTAATATTTCATTATGCCGAGAAATCATGTGAAATGGGGAAGACAGGAGTGCCAATTCTTATCAATAATGCCTTGAGTCCAAACAAATGGGTCAGTAACAAAGGGCAAAATATTCTCTTCATATTTTGCCATTTTAAGGCCTACATGAACGGCGAAGAACGGGAGGTGGTGAAGCACCACATAAAAGGGTCATTGAAGACGCATATGTACTTATAGGTAAATAACTATATGCAAAGAGGATATGCCTTGCGGGTCTGGAGAGTTCACAATACAAAATATCGCAAGACGGCCTAATTGAAGGAAATGTATAGGGATAGTGCAAAAGATATTGGCTGAGTGTTAATTCCCGAAAATAAGGCTAATATGACTTATCAGAGCCAAGTTGTTGACAGTAAGATATACTTTAAAAGATTCGGATAGGATTAAGAACACGAGAGCGAATGAGGTTGAAAGATGCCCGTTCACGAAAGATATCAGATGCCAGCCAAACGAGGCATTAAAAACAATACGGAGCCTAAATCCCTTGCATGTGAAAGGATGCTCCAGGGGCCTGATGATAACTCATGAATCGAGCAGGCACATAGGGATGATAACAAGAGAAGCATAACTAAGTGAAGCCGTGGCTCACCCACTTATCGATATTAATTCGAGGGGGTTCCAAGCTCATCTCCACGTAAGTAATCATCTTGTTCAGGAATGCGGCACATCAATTTTAAAGAGCAGTGGGAGCGCGGGTGCTATCAACATGCATAACAAACTGAGAAAACGAGCAAATAATCAAAAATGAACTAGCGAAGTTCAGCAAATAGGTCGACGAATGAAGGTGCATATAAAACTCAGCATAAATGAAAATTTGGATTGCGTAAGCGATTTCTGAGAAGTATGAGAATGTTGAGAGAAGAGAAGTGAAGAAGCGGTTTATAAAAAGTAATCCGGTGTACGCCTAGAAACGTGGGGCTCGCCGCGTCTCGGGGCCGGGTCGAATTGAAGGCTGGAAAAATGAAGAACGGATGGTATAAGTTTGTACATGCGTGCTACTGGTTATCGTTTGGATGAAAAAAGAAATTATCAAGTTGAGCTAAAATACAACGTAGAACGCTGATATTTGGCCGAGGGGCCCAAAGCTGTTAACACATTTTATATCAAATGGACCAAACGATTAATTAAGGCAAATATACTATCTCGAGAAGATGCGTATCAAAATTTACGAGCGAGATCAGGCTTTCTTGAAGCTACGAGCATCTTAACTAGCTTTGGAAAATAAATTGGCTCATGAAATCAGCCAATGGCAATGCACCAACAAAGAGCGCAGAGCGGAATGTAGCTATAATAGTTAAGAAATAAATCTTAAAAAAGTTGTTAGAATAAGATTAAAGGGACATCATGACATTGTTATCAGAAGCGTCGATTTCATCAACAGAATTGGAACCGAAGGATTAAAAGGTGTCTACCTCACTTGACAAGTAAAATAATATGTAAAAATTGATAAATGAAAATCACACAGCAGCTTCATAAATGAAAAAGTATTGTTACATAAACGAACTAAAATGACATTTGAGAGCATGAAATATAAAAATACAAGTCTAAATAATTATGGCCAGGTATAGCTTCGACAGTAAATAAGTTAGCAGTAGTGCTAGCATACATAACAGGCACAATAGAAAAGGATCCATCTACATAACCATTTAAAAGCTAAAAAGAATTTGATATCCTTTAATTAAGATCTCGTGTTGAGAATTAACAAATCTGAAAATGATTTTTCTTGAAATCTTATGAACGCACTCTAAAGTAAATATACATGTATTATAAGTGTTGGAGCTAAGACCTCTTCTGAAAAAAAATAGTGCATCAAATTTTAGGTAAATTAAGGGAGCGACAATAGAGCGTTGAACAACCATGAGGAATAAGCAAATTGTAGCAAGACAAGAACTTACAAAGTATATTTGAGGCTATCATCCAGCTCCATTATGGCGGCTTGATTTCCACATCGATAGCAGTAGTTAGGGGCGGAGAATATAGTCACCACGTTTCGGTCATGACACCAATTGAATCCTTCCATCACCAATTGATGTGCTCGGCTGACCAGACTTAAGCAATTAGTGTGATTAAAACTTTCAGAAATATCCTGACCAAAAGTATAACCAGCCCCTCGAGGACTTATGCCCCAACCACCCCTGTCATCTGGGTCGGACCAAAGTAGATCACACATTGGACCCTAGATTATAAGGAAGGATATCGCAAAATAGTAAGAGCAGATAGTCGAGCTAATATGGATAACATAAAATAGAGAAAGTATACGAAATCAAGTGAGGTTATTTAAGCAAAAATTGAAACATTACCTCGTGTGGTACCTCTTGAATACGATCCAATGCCCGTATATGATCGAGTGTGT